ACCCACCCCACACCCAGCCCAGCCCCCACCGGGAAGAGTCCAGCACCACCCCACAGCAGCCGCCCTGCCCCATGCAGATCTGGGGGGGGCACATGCACCCCCACCCTCCCCATGTCCTCCTGGGGTGTGCCCAGCAGCAGAAACTCCCTCCCATAGCCCTGGGATGAGCTGCAGCTCTGTTCTGCGCCCTGCCCCAGCCCCACTCCCTCCCTCACCACAGAGGCCTTGATCTGCCCCCCCACGCTGCTTCCCTGCCCCCTCCCTTTCCATCACAACAGATATACCAGCTGCATGCAGCTGTACTGGAAATCACATCGGTATTGGCCAATATGCCTCCTTAAAAATCGACTATTGGCCCCCAAAATCTCCATTGGTTCACCACTAATTTGCACCCCACTCCCCCTCAGGCCAGATTCTGACTGCATGGCTCCTTGCCAGTTGGGCTCAGACCCATCTCCAGAGGCAGGACAAGTGGCAGCAGTGGTGCTGTGTTGGCTCAGCGAACTGCAGAGGTTAATGCAGCCATAGCTCTCCCTACCCCCAAATTCCTGGCCCTTCCACAACCGGATCCAACCAGAAGGCTGCATGTTTTGCACTCCCAATACTAGGCTAATCGAAATGGAAGCCTGTGAATAAAGGATGGCCACAATTGATTTAACCGTTAAGGGGAAGGCCACGACAGAATGGAAGGAACAGCAAGATACAAAATAAAGCTGGTAGTCAAGCACCAAAGCCTTTTAAAATTCCCGGTGAACTGATAAGGTGGTAGAGACCACCCGATCAGCCCCTGCCACTGCTGCCACTATTGGTGACTGGCAGCAACAGCAGAGGGGGCTGCCTGCATGTCAGTCCCTGCAAGGCTCCATGACAGGACAAGCCAGCTGCTCTCCTTCCATCCCACCCTCTCACTTGAACAGGGCGGGAGGGAGGCCAGAGCACTGCAGGCATACACAGAACGAGAAAATATTATTTGTGGGGGCAGAGTGCATGTTTCAGCATGAGAACTACAACTCCCATCACGTTCTGTGCAGTGTGACACATGCACGGTTAGTCTCTTCTTCCTTAGGCTCATGGAGCTGACTGCATGTGGGGCGCTGGCCATGATGAACACAAAAGTAGCACCCTGGTGCTGCTGCTGTAATTAGTTTGGGGGGCCTAAGCTCCCACAAGCCCCAGCCTTCCATGGCCTATTGGGTAGTGGGGAGTGGAGAGACCTTTCCAGTCATTAAACATATCACAGTAGTCACACCAGAGCTTCCTGCAACACAGCTGCTGCTATTTGAAACAGTAACTTCTTTGCCATACATCTGCCATTTGGGGGCAGATCAGCCATTTTTTAGTGTGACAAAAGGGCATGAATTTGTGGAAAATATCAGACATGGCACAACAGATGGTAACATCTGCCTTAGCCCTACAAGGCTGTCTGTTGTCCCATGTGAAAGATGGTAGCAATCTCAGTATATAACTAGCGGTGCACCGATAAAAAAAAAAAAATT